AAATCAACAGCAAAAAACAAACACCCAAGATCCAGTTGCATATCTTTGGGAGAAATACTTGTTCTTTCTATTGCAATAAATATCACCAAAATTATGCCTGGAACAATGAGAACTGAAAACGCTTGAAATCAATTAGTCTGTGGACTAATGGAACATGTGAACATCATTCTCTACGATTCTGAGACCAGAAGAACCTAGATGGTGACCAACTACCACTACTCACTAGTCTCAAGGGATCACATTAGAAGATCCCAGATAAGTGGCAGAAAACATAGAACAAAACTCAAAATTACAAAAAAAGACTGGGCTTAATAGTCAGACAGAGACGGGAGGAACCTGAGATGATGGCCTTCAACCACCTTTCAGCTCTGGAACAGAACTCGCCATCATGGCTCAATTTCCAATCGACCAGTTAGTATGAGGTCATACTCTACATGAATGTGTCCTATAAAGGGGAGAAGAGACATAGAAAGACAGAGCGGGGCAGTCATGTGACATCAGATTTATGCTGTATGGGAAACCAAGGAACACCTGTAGCTACCAAAACCCCAAAGAAACAAGAAAGGACCTTCACCTAGAGTCTTTGGTGAGAGCAAGACCCTGCCAACACCTCAGACCTGGATTTATTATTATTGTCTCAGAACTTTGAGACAATACATTTCTGTTCTTATCAATGTCTTGGCTATCTAGTGCTATGATAACAGAAATATGAGGGTCAATCAAGAAATAGTGCTACTAAGGTTCCAGTTCATAAATGCATGGCTTTATTCCAAAGAAAACATGTTTAAAGTTGGCTCTGCCCTCCGTGGATAGCTGCAGATAAGTTCTTATTAATGTACTTGTTTTAATCTCCTTAGGGTGCATTCAAAAAAAAAGAAGGAAAGGTCCAATCAAAACAGTGGAAAACAATGGATTCTGAGGGCCTTGCTGGGCCGGTTAAATTCAAAGTAGAGCAGTTAGCTCAGAAGGTTATGGTAACTGTTTTTTTTTTTTTTTTTTGTGTTCCAAAGGGGTAATCTTGATAGATTTTCTTGAAAGGCAAAGGATGTTCACTGGGGTTTATTGGGAAGCTCTGAGAACATGAAAACCTGCATTCATGAGAAACTGGACCTGAAAGTTGTATCAACAACTTTTTCCCCCTCCCATTAGATACCTGCTCATTATTCAAGACAAGCAAGGGCTGTCCTATGAGAATTTTGTTGGGAAACTTCACCCCACCTACCTTGATTTTGCCCTTTCACACATTTTTTTTTTTTTTTTTGGTTCCCCAAATTCAAAGAGCTTAAATAAAAGGAACACAATTTGAGTCACTAGAAGATTCCAAAACTGCCATTTTGATGTGGTATATAAATCAAAGAATTCAGAATTCTTTGGGAAGGCTTGAAGTAATAGAAACATCACATTCAGAAGTGTATATATAGACTTAGATGAAGAATATGTTGAGAAACAAAACCATCACATTTTGATATTTCAATAAAGTTGTTCAAACAGAACATGGGAACACTGAATGGTTTAAAATTTAAAATGGTGTATGTCAAGGTTGTATTCTTTCACCATACTTATTCAACCTGTATGCTGAGCAAATAATATGAGGAGCTGGGTTATATGAAGAAAAACGTGGCATCAGGATTGGAGGAAGACTCATTAACAACCTGCAATATGCAGATGATACAACCTTGTTTCTGAAAGTGAAGAGGACTTAAAACATTTACTGACGAACATCAAAGGGCACAACCTTTGGTATGGATTACATCTCAATGTCAAGAAAACAAAAACCCTCATCACTACATCACTAGACGAATAAACAACATTCTTATCAACGGAGAAAAGATTGAAGTTGTCAAGGACTTCATTCTTCTTGGATCAACTACCAACACTCACGGAAGCAGCAGTCAAGAGATCAAATGACGTATTACATTAGGCAAATCTTCTGCATAAGACCTTTTTAAAGTGTTGAAGAGCAAAGATGTCAGCTTGAGGACTAAGGTGCACCTGACCCAAGTCATGGTATTTTCAATAACCTCATATGCATACGAAAGCTGGATAGTGAATAAGGAGGGCTATAGAAGAATTGATGCTTTTGAGTTGTGGTGTTGGAGGAGAATATTGAAAGTGCCATGGACTGCCAAAAGAACCAATAGATCTGTTTTGGAAGAAGTGCAGCCAGAGTGCTCCTCGAAGGCCAAGATGGCCAAACTTCATCTCTCATACTTGGAACATATTGTCAAAGGGGACCAGTCACTGGAGAAGGATACCATGTTTGGTAAGGTGGAGGGTCAGAGAAAAAGAGGAAGACCCCCAACGAGATGGATTGGCCAAGTGGCAGCATCGATGGACTCAAGCATGGCAACAGTAGTGAGGTTGGCCCAGGATTGGGCAGTGTTTCATTCTGCTGTGCATAAGGTTGCTATGGGTCGGTACCGACTAGATGGCACCTAACAACAACAACAACAACAACAACAACAGCAACAAAAAAGGTTTCTATGATTTTGTAAGACGCTCTTGTAGCGTAGTGGTTATGAGTTGGGCTGCTAACCTCAAGGTCAGTAGTTTGAATCTATTAGTCGTTCTGTGGGAGAAAGATGAGATTTTCTGCTCCTGTAAAGATTTACAGCCTCCGAAACCCTATGCAGTCGGAACTGATTCCACTACCACCTGGGAAAAAAACTGATGCATGGAAGAAATTGAAAGTACCATGGACTGCCAGAAGAACAAACAAACCTGTTTTTAAAGAAGTACAGCCAGAAAGTACCTTAGAAGCCAGAATGGCAAGACTTCATCTCTTGTACCTTGTACATTTTATCAGGAGGGACCAGTCCCTAGAGAAGGAAGGCATGCATGGTAAAGTGGAGGGCCAGTGAAAAAGGCAGATTCTCCAGGAGATGGATTTACACAGTGGCTACAATGGGTTCAAACAAAATCAACTGTGAGGCTGGTGCAAGATGAGGCAGGGTTTCATTTTGTTGACATAGAGTTGCTATGAGTCAGAACCGACTTGACAGCGCCTAAAGCTTGTAACAAGAATAGGAAACCAATACAAGTATGAAAACAAACCAAGCCATGTGAGAGGTTGGTAAACAGCTGGATGAACTTCAGATGTAGCCTTCCTTTTAATAATAAGACATACCCAGTTCTACTATTTGCTCAAGCAATTATAGAACAACATGTCATAAAAGATTTGTAACCAAATCAAACCTACTGCCATTGGTAGCTTCAGACTCAGTGATGCTATAAGACAAAGTAGAATTGCCCCATAGGGGTTTTCAAGGTGGTGATTTCTATGGAAGCCAACTCTTAAATATTTCTCTTTTGGAGTGGCTGGTGGGGTTGGACTGCTAACCTTTTGGTTGGCAGCTAAGTACTTTAACCACTGACAGCCAAGGCTTCCTGAAAAGATGTGTTGTTAAGTGCCATTGATTTGGTTCTGACTCATAGCGACACTGTGTAGGGTTTCCAAGGAGCAGCTGGTGAATTTGAACTGGCCACTTTGTGGTTCAAACCAACCTTGAGAAGCAGTGCTTTATCCCACAGCACCACACCAGGACTCATAACTTCTATCTAGAAATAATGTTATGGCACAATCATTTAAACTAACATTTCATAGAGTGGCTGCCTTGAGTGGAATACAAAGAGGATGCTGGGTGAAACTGCAGCTAGGATCACTGCTGAAATGTATTCAGCGTGGAATAATTCACAGTCCAATGAAGGCTGCGGGGTATCACGGCATACCCCGTGATGAGGAAAAGTAAGAGCAATTTCTAAAATGGCAGGATCTGTGAAGAACTTTTGAATGAGACAGAAAAGCCATGGAGATCCTTTGTACTATAGGGCGTTTATTTTGTAGTTGTCTCAAGAGGAGGACTTTAAAAAGTTGGTTGAATTACATAAATCTGAGTTACATATATTTGTTTTATAGAATGACAGTGTTCCAAACTCAGTGAGGTGACCATTACTTCTCCCTGTGTGTCAGTTTGTTGTATTGTGATGGTAGCTCCGAGTCTATGGAGTCGAGCTGCTGCATAGGGCTTTCTTGGTTGCAATCTTTACAGAATAGATTGTAACCATGGTACCACTGGGTGGGTTCAAACCGCCAACCTTTAGATCAGTAGGAACCTCCTGTTCTATATTAATCAATTTATCTGGCATTATTTAGGTATTGGAGTCCTGGTGTGGTGCTGTAGGATAAGCACTGGACTGCTAACTTCAAGGTTTGAAGTTCAAACCCACCAAGTGTTCCTTGGAAACCCTGTACAGAGTGACTATGAGTCAAAACTGACTTTAACAACAACAACAACATTTAGAGATCACATGCTATTTGGTAAGCATTCCATTATCATTAAAGAGCAACTAATGGACAATTAATTTAAGGAATTACACAGTTAGCTAGTTTGATGATTCTTAATTTTGGCTAGATTAAATAGTACAGAATCACATAAATTATAATTAGAGGTGCTCTAATAAACACAGCCTTCCTGTTTGTCTCTGTCTGTCTGAAGGGAGACCCATACCTCTTCATCTGTACCTGTTCATGCCCATGGGTTCTGTCCTCCCTGTGGCTGCATAGCCACCTATCATGCCAGGATGAGAGAGCTTCCAAGTCACTTCATTTGATTTTTTTTCCAAAATAAAAGAACATTCCTTAGAAACAGAATGAGCTTTCACTGTTTGTCATTTGATAGCACCTTCAGTGTTGGGTCAAGTGATGTTAGGAAAAATTCAGAACTTTGTAGGTATTTCTAGAGGTTCCTAGATTCACAAGGAAGGTCTTGTATTTAGCTGCTGTCAAATTGGTCCCTGATTGATGGTGATCGCAGACAATGGAATAAAGCACTGCCTAGTCATGTGCCATTTTCGTGATCATTGGGATCCAGAGGGTTTTCATTGATTGATTTTCAAAGCTATCACCAGGCAGGCCTCTCTTCCTAGTCTCATCTGGAAGCTCCACTGAAATCTGTTTAGCACCATAGCAAACACACAGGCCTCCACTGACAGATGGGTGGTGCATTGACTGGGAATTGAACCCAGTTCTCCTGCATGGAAGGCAAGAATTCTACCACTGAGCTACCGATGCCTTATCACACATAGATAAAGAGACTCCCAGGTTCAAGTTTGGATGTTACTTATGGGGACCAGTCCTGCTCAGGGCATCTTTGCTAATGTCACCAGCAGGGCATTACTATCCCTGTTATCTCTGAGCTTGGGAATGCCACTGCCTTAGTTGTGTAACAGAAATACCACAAGTGGATGGCTTTAACAGAAATGCATTCTCTCACAGTTTAGAAGGTTTGAACTCCAAATTCCGAGCATCAGCTCTTGAGGAAGGCTTTCTCTCTTTGTTGGGTTTGGGGAAAGGTTCTTGTCTCCTTTCAGCATCTGTAGGCCCAGCATTTCTTGGAGATCTCCATGTGTGTTGGCATCAATCTTCCCCTGGATGTAGGAGCTTCACAGTGCAGGGGTTCCAGGTCCAGAGGACACACTCCATTCCCGGTTCTTCTTTCTTGGTGGTAGTAGGTCCCTCTGCCTCTGCTCACGTCTCTCTCCTTTTATCTTTGCAAAATAAAAAGATGTTGCAGGCCACACCCTCAAGGAAACTTTCTTTCAATGGAATGGCTGTTCAGAGCAGATCTCATCACGGAGGTGATTGCATTCTGTAAGATCTCATCATGGGGGATTATTATGTCTGAATTGCAAAACCACTGAGAATCCTGACCCAGTCAAGCTGACACAAATCTAAACACATAGCCTATCACAGTCGACTTTCCAGCATCTTCATCCTCTGCTTGTTCCTTCAATGATTCTGCAAATTTAAGTGTCCTTACCTCACCCAGCTGTCTCTGATAGCTGTTGTTTTACTTTCTTATTTCCTTCCAGACTTTTCCAACAGTTAACCTTGTTTATTAACAGATAGACTCATTGGTTAACAGATAGAGTTCTGGTGTGGTGATGCAGGTTAATACGCTGGACTGCAAGGCTGGTTTGAACCGCAAGGTCGGTGGTTCAAGCTTACCAGCTGCTCTTTGGAAACCCTATGCAGGGTCACTATGAGTTGGAACTGACTTGATGGCACTTAACAACAACAACAACAGATCGTTTGTAGTCTGTATTGAGCTCCCAACTGCTGTTTTCTGCTTCTGAGAGCAGCTTGGTCCCAGGTTTCCCCTGTACTCCAGTTGCTCCTTTGATTTCAGAGTAGATCTACCCCTTGCCCTATGTAGCAAAAATATCAAATGTATCTATGGTAGTTGATGCTTTGTGTCAACTTGACTGGGCCCAGATTCACTGTGATTTAGCAGTTAAGACATAGTAATTCCCCATGATGACATTTATTAAGATTGCCCATTCAGTTGAAAGGAAAGTTCCTTCAGGGTGTGACCTGTATTGGATACTTGGGAAAAGCTTTCTTGCTTTTTTTCTGGGTCTGGATTCTGCATCTGATTTGTCCTTTGACATACAGCTCTTTGGACTCCAGTCAACAGCCTTCTGTGTTGCGTGCTGATCCTGGGAGTTGTCAGTAGCCTGCCATCTTACCTGCTGATCTTGGATTCATTCACCTCTGCAGCCAGAGCCTGCTGTCCAACCTGCCAATCTTGGGTTTATCAAATCCTGTAACTATATGAACCAAGAGACGCCTTCAGCCTGCCATCTGACCTATGGAATTAGAATTTGCCTGCCTCTACAACTGTGTGAGTCATTTCCTTGTTACAAACTTATTTATTATTATTATTTTTTGTATATATATAAGTTAAGTTCTGGTAGCGTAGTGGTTACGAATCGGGCTGTGAACCTTAAGGTCAGCGGTTCGAAACTACCAGCCGCTCCGCGGGAGAAAGATGAGGCTTTCTACTC